ATCCAGGAGCTGCACCGCAATCGACGACAGTGTCACCAGGCTGAATCAGACCTCCGGGCACGAGATCGTTGATCTGCAACAACTTGAAGGCACTTCTGCAGCGATAAGAGTTGATACGAGCATTGCGCACGAAGGGATCACGTCGCTGCCTTTTAATCCAGAGCTGTTTTCATAATATAATAAAGGAAAATAAGTGAGGAAAGCCAACCCAAGACTCCACCAGGGAGAAAAGAATAATTTCGGATTTTCAGCCCAAAAGGGACGTCCTGGCAAATTATTGGTACATCAGGGAATTGGAGAGCAAACCTCTCCTAGGAATTAATTTACAACAGAACGAACGCACATAAGGCGGCGGACCAAATTCACAATATCGGTTCAAGATGCAACAATTTGTCAAGCGAATTGATAACTTTCATCAAACGAGTGGGAACTGGAGCGTATCTACGGAATTATCCGGGTGAAAGGCAAGCTGGGAATTTAGATATTTGGTCGTAAACTTCCCTTGATGAAGCTTCGTAACAGTCTCCTGGAGTTAGTTTTTTATACAATTATCACGCATGTAAGTGGACAGGAGGGGTTCGCAGTAAATTGTGGTCCACCGACTAAAACACGAAAATTGGCCTTCAAACAGTAAAACTGATTCAGGGCACGCACGAAGACTCGATAAATAATTCCAAGGAATTATTTGGATCCCTAAGCGCCACGATCGTCAATACCTCTACACTCGATAAATATTTGCCGGTATTCCTACCTAATCTTTCGAATAGCATAGTTTATGCAATTTTTGCTGGAATCGTACGTAATATGCAACTTACTCTCCACTGAATTCATACGTAATAGTATGGTGGCTTACAACTGAGCAAAAATGCAATGAAATACTCTTCAGTGAACTTAAATGTTCAACCGCCTTCTCTGAGAAGGTCGCATGAGAAATTCCTTCCTGACGATCATTGTTTTCTCACATTTCTACTTGAAAGTAGGAGTATTTCAATTTCTAAAAGCCTTTGATTTTATGTGTTTTCAATTCACACACTATACGATTCGCACTACGGCGAATTCAAGCGTTTCTTCAGGCACTTGGATTTAAATTAAACAAACATCAAAATCAAAGGAAAAAAAGTGTACATTGATCAGCCAACCATCTTCTGCAAGTGTAATTCGTGGGGGCGATTGGAAGTATCCTTAATTAAAAGCGAGCATGTCGCAATGAGTAAACTGGGGATTTTGTTCTATGTTAGCCGGTATCCAAACCTCCTTAGAGGCACGTTCCAATTTATAAATCCAGTTGAGACCATTTATATGCCCCCCTCCCCTTTCCCCGATAGGAAATGGGGATACGGACGCCTCTGGTCGAATGCAGGTGACGTTGTGCTAAATTACACCAAGGTCAAATATCCCCGTGTCTTAACCCTAACCCAAACCTTGACCGTTACTCTGATCTTAACGCTAACTCTACCACTAGCCCTGACCTTAAACTTAACCGTAATTCCTTCAGGAGTTTAGCAGAAAGGAAGCTATACTAAGGATTGCTCCTGTTCCCGTGTTCTTCCGCGGGAACCATGTAAGTAGGTCCTACATGAATCCCGTCTAACTATTTTAGTCAATGCACGAACACAGAGTAATCGATAATCGCTGAAAAGCAGCTACGCCTTCTTTGATAGAATATAGGCATGAAGCTCTTACAGTTGGAAACATTGAAAATGCATTCATTTTTACTTCATTTAGTTGGCGTTCCGAGTTTCTGCACGCACCTTAGGTGCTAGTTCCGTACTGATTGGCACAAAATATGCAGCTGGTCCATTTTTTTTCTTCGTCCTACTGGTAGATTATACTCTTCGTCTTGCGTTGTTGAAAGGTGCACTGTTCCGTATTTGTTTCCCCTGCAACCGCCTCCTTGAGTGCAGCCGAAGTTTACGTCCAGAATTTGGCAGTGTGCATGGTCTTCATCACCATAATATGCAGCCTACCGCTCCTCATTTTGAGTCTACCGTCTAACAACTGCCTGTGACACAAATGCGGACGCATCCATGCTGCGTTTTTGGAGTTTTTCGCAATGAGGAGTCTAATTTACGCAGAAATATTCGCCAAGGGATAGTTTATGTTGCGGTCGCAGTAGCATGAAGGCCCAAAAATCCAACCCACGTGGCAGGGTCCACAACTATTCGTCCATTCAAGCCATAGTAAATAATGACATTGGAGCCATATGCATATATAGTGCTGAAGGGCCCTTCAATGCATCACGAATAATCATCGAAATAGTGTCAATGTCAAAGCTAAGAGTGCATTTCCTCCCGCGTTGTGGCCGACTTACTGTAGGGGCTGTCAATAATACCGACAGAATGGGCGGGCAGTATCCTTACATTGCCGAGAAAGTGCGAATTCGGAATCTTCTCCTTCTTTCTTGCGATGACCGCTCGGGTAAGTTGTATACCGCTCGGACTCTGGTGAATTAACCTTGCTCGGGGGAAGCAGGCCTCGTTAACGATGACAATATTGATTTTATATCCGACCCGTTAAACGGCGAAGCGGACTACCCTTCCTTCTGGAAACAGAAATTTCAGACCAGTAGAAAAGGCTAAGTCTACCAGGTACAAGAATTCAGGGCGAGTACTATCTGTGTTGTTTGCAACTCAACTTAAGTTATTGGAAGCCCAGTGGCAACAGTTGTTCGAGCAGGAAATGATGAGTTGCATATAAGGCGAAATTTTCGAGTTAGTTAGGCAGTTAGGGTGTGAACGGACATAGCCCAAATGGATCCGCTTAAATAGCTAGACGGCCGTTGAATAAAATGACCGCTTGCAGTTGCCTCTAGTACGAGAGCGACTCGAAATGACTTGGTGTGCCTGTACACGGATTCACATGTACTACTTAGAACGTCACCACAACTGCCGCCTTGCTGTAGGCAATGGGTGTTTTTGCGGTTGCTGGAGCTAAGAAAAAATTGAGGTGGCCAAGGGAGCTAAATCGCCAAGTGGAAGATAGTTGGACTGGCATGCGCAGCATTGGTCTCACCCTCTCCGCTTACTGTTCTAATGACAAAATGAGACTACAATGACTAGCGAGTATATAGGGTTTAACGACTGATCTGCTAGGCTTTACCCATTTAAACACTCAAGAAACGGTCTAACCTCTTTCACCAACCGAAACGCACCTTACGCGCATATTTTGCAGTAGGAAAGGTGCAACGGCTGCAGGCACCTGGTTCCGTACGCCGGTTTAACTGCTTACCGGAATGTGGGCTTTCTAATTACAGTTCTGTAGAGTCAACGGTGGTAGACAGAGGTCCAAATACAGAGCAGACTGAGCGTGGTTTGCCACCTAGAACGATCTTCATCGGATTAAATACATGGCCCCGCATTTGACACCACATAATCCGCACACCTCTCACATAGGCAACTGGCTCAAACGATTAACACGACTTATCATTTTTATTTATATCCTCGCTTAAGTTCAAGCTCAATTGGATTATGTGATCTATGTGGGCAAAACTAACCAGCGGTAAGCAAGAATCTGTCCTCTTACGTAATACGTGTCCATTTTTCTGTTTCCCGAAAAGTGGTTTGGCCTGCAAATTTACGGTGCGGATCTAAATGTTGTAGTGTTTGTGGTGGGCGAGCAAAGGACGGCTAAATACGGAAATCCGATCTTGAAACACGTAATCCCTGTATTGAGTGGCGGTTTATAAGAATAAAGTACTCAGTCAAATGTCGGCAAGCAAGCTAATTACCTAAAAGAGAAACGCGCACTAGGTTTCAGGGATCATATTATGGTTTTTTTAATGCGAAAAGGCAACCCTTGCCTTGTTATCATACTGGCTTTGGTCTTTGATGAAAACTTATACAAATGCAATCGGATGACAAGCCATTCCTCCGTTTTATTAAGAAAAAATAGGGGTTTTACAAAAACTAGATTACTTTGAAAGTTTTTAGCCACTAATTTGTACTTGGTATGAAATTCCTGGCCCCTTTTTGGCCTTACCGTGTGGATTCCGAAGAAGATAAAAGTGACTCCCTTTTTAGAAAAGGTGAAAAAGTCGGGTAACCAGAGAATGAAATTTAGTATAGGATTATCTTACCTTAGAAGTAGAAGTCCTCACGAGTAGTTGCAACGGTAGAAGGAATGACGGGGACTGCATCCGATTGGACCACATGATGACTGCGCCCCAAGCAGACATCAACGAAAGCTAAGGTTCAGATGATCTCGCCTAACGACTAGGATACCTAGTAAACGAATAATAACGGTCGGTCAGTAAAGATTTAAAATGGAAAATGAGAACATTGCCTTTTGCCACTAATGGCAGAGGCAAATGTTCACTGTTTGACGTTAATTGGCGATAGCTTCGACATACAAGAAGTCAAGTTCGGCAAACGTATGCTTTCGATCATTCATCATCAGACCTGTACAGTAATATGGGGCAGGATAGAGGAGCAAAGGTTTAAACAGCCAATAAGCAGTTGATGTGGTGGAGAGGGTTGCGGGCATTCAGACATCATAAGCGGGATTTCTGCAATTTTCACGCTGGGGACTGCAAAGCGAAAATTCTAAATTATCAGGTTGTCTGTCCACTGACTTTCAGAACCTAACTTGTCTATGCCCCAATTCGTAAAAACGCCTCTCAACTATATTTCACTTGAGTATAAACCCTCATTTTAGTAAACTGTGTAAGCTTACTTGGAAGTACCTAAATGGTGAGTGTGCCTTAAGCTAACGACTCATGTCAGTTACAAAAGCGATTGGTATGCATCCCGTGGATAGCGTTCACCGCAACGGAGACGCAGACAAACTAGAATTAACGATATATTGGATTCAGGTTGCCATGACGGGCCCCACAGGTGGTTAGACTATGGAGGGTTGCTGAAGGTGCTTTAAAACCGCCACTGACTACCATTTCACGAAACTGCCCGCTCGGGGCTTATCATAGGCCCGATGTCGCTCAGCGGCCATGATCAGATACCGTCAGTAGGGGAAATTGCAGAACACAGCATGAAGAGCAACCACAAAAGGTATGTGTACCAGTCCGGCAGTCCGGCGAA